CGCGTCGAAAAATTGGATACAGCTTCTCTTTGTCTCGCTTATGGGCTCCTTTGTCGTACATCTATCAGTGAGTGTCTTTAAGATACTGCTGCTGGAAGTCTGAGGCTGACTCGCTCGCCAGCGAGCGATCGTCCGCGTTCCGCTGATGATTTCTTCCCGGCGGAGCTAGGGAGTCGCGTGACGTCACTTTTTCCATCGCTCCGACGGAGTGCCGAGCGTCTGAGTCATGTCCTCTCGTGCCTACTCTCTCGCCTCCGAGCGCAAAACTAAACGCGCCTATTCGACTTTGTTACATCAACACCGACGAGTACAACTTTGAGATAATTAACTGACCCTTAATAAATTTAGTCGTAGCGGCTGAATATATAAGATAATGAAATTATAACTAGAGATAACTACGTCTTTTGTTTAAATAGAATTAGATGCGCGCGAAGAAATACATGAAACTAATGTTAGCTCGATTTTTGGATGCTTTCAGAGTTGTGCAATGATGGGTCTGCAGGCGACGGCAGGAAAACGCAAATTAGAGGGTGGTGTCGGCTGCATGGAATTCCACATGGACTTAGGCGAGAGTCCATCGAAACTCGGACGCGTGGACGGTAGCTGGTGGGCGATGGACGACAGTTACGGGCCGCCCCTGAACCAGACGTCGACGTCGTATTACGAGATGGAAGTGAGCTCGCCCTGCCTACAGACGACGAACCCGTGCCAGCCCTCGGCGACGAGTTCCTCGCAGTCGCAGCAGCAACAGCAACCGCAACAATCTCAGCAACATCCGTCGCAGCACCATTCATCTTCCCAATCACCGCAACAGGCACAACAGCAGCAGCAGCAATCGCAGCAGCAGCAGCAGCAGCAGCAACAACAACAAATTTCACAGTCTCCCCACCAATCGCACCACCAACAACAGCATGACGCACACCACCACTATCATCAACAGCAGCCGCCGCAACACCAACAGGCACAACAGTATGTTCAACTTGGGGCGAGAGAGGTCCCGATTCCCGAGGGAGGGGATAACCGGCATCCGACGGAGGCCTCCATCGCGCCGGAGGGACGCCGCACCGACAGTCACATGCCTCACTCCACGATGCATCGTTACGGCACCGAGACACTCTCACCAACCACGACGGATCAGCATCATCATCAGCAACAGCAGCATCATCACCATTTATCCGAGGTACATCAGCATACCGCTCTATCATCCGTTGCCCACCGTCATCTCGAGGATCCGCAGCAACATCATCAAGAAACTGACGAGGACGTGGATCGAGGGGTGAGCAGCATCACCGCAGCCATGAGAGGTGCACGGGGTGATTATTTAGGTGTACTCTTCCCGAATCTCACTTCGTCGAGCACTACGTCTAGCAACAGTGGCAGCAATCATCATCATCATCATACATCACATCACTTGGAAGATGTATTGTCCGAGGAGCCTTATCTGCAACATCAGATCCGCGCCGGTGGAGCTGCCCCGACCGGTGGCGGTTCTCCATCGGTGAGGACCGTCGGTGGCTCTCCGACTTCCAGCCATAGTCCACACGACGATCAGGGTCTGTCATCGCCGCATCGCCAAGCCCAGGAGACCGGTTACAGTCCCACTGATCAGGGCAGATTGCAATCTTTTACGCATCTTACGGCTATGCAACCACCGTCGGTGCAGAACAATCACGGATTGCAGGAAGCCGAGCGCGTGTCCGATCAGCTATATATTGACTCGATCTACACACATCACGCCTCCGGTACTCCCCATCATCATCAGGATCAACACGATCAAGGCCCCTCCGCGCCGCATTCGCCCAGCGGCCCGCTCTCCAGGTTAGTAATCCTTGTTATCGTTATCTCGTTGCGTGCAATGACGCGGATGAATGTGCGAAATGTGAACGGAGTTGACTTTAAAGCTGTCATAATTTCTATTATTGGCGAAACTACATTTTTCTTGTTTCTTCATCCTCGATTTAAAAAATCTTAAAAGTATCGTAAAAGTGAAATTGTTTTAGTGCTAAGAATAAACCAGTGAATAAACTAGTGTTGAACACGAAATATT